TCAAAAAAAGAAATATTTTAAGTGAGTACATTTTGTAAGTTGGCATTGATGGAGGAGCTGGATTTTTGAAAATTAGTTTAAACATCTTAGATAGTTGCAAAAGGTAAAAAAATTCAGTTATGAGTAAGGCATATGTAAAGAAAAATACAAATATGGTGGGGTTGATAAACTCATTATTATTGAACTTGGAGAAAATTTAAAAGAATCTTATGCAAATATGAAAGTAGTAATCAATTTTATTAATTTAAACAGTATTAAATATTTTTGTGCTTTCGATATAAAGTTGGCCAATATTTTTTTTGGAATAGAAACTGCAACCTAAACTCATCCTTGCCCTTACTGTATAGCTAGAAAACATGATTTTCAAAATTTTGAATTTCAAGGTGAACATAGAACACTTGGAATGATTAGATCATCAGCTAATAATTACAAAAATACTTGCAGAAACAAAGTTAAAAAATCAAAGTTATCTGCAGTACCCTATCATAACTGTGTAGACCAACTAATTATTGATTTACCAGATGAAACAAAGGTTATAAAACTTCTTGCTCCGATGGAACTACACCTACTCAGTGGAAACACCAACAAACTTTTTAATTATCTTGATAAATATACAAAATCTAAATAATTTTGTTTCAAAGCAGAGGAGTGGAATGAAAAACTTAGCTTTAAAAGACCAAAGCTTCATGGTGGGCAATTTAAGGGAGGACAAAGTTTAAAACTTCTTGATAATATAGATATTTTGAACGATTTGATCAAGTCTTTTTCAATAGATAATAATGAACATCTTTCCTCCACACTAAAGGCATTTAAATGCTTGAGAGAAGTTTAAGTTTTTTAGTGATGACTTAGAACTCGACTACGAAATAAAAGTAAAAGATTTTCAAGAAGCCTACTGTAAATTAAGTACTGTTGGATTAAGTACTGCTGGATTAAGAGTATCACCTTAAGTACACGCTTTAGTAAAACATACAGTAGAATTTTTAAAAATGATGTCAAGTGATTATCCAAAAAAAGGTCTAGGCTATTGGAGCAAACAAACCTCTGCATCTGTTCATCAAAATTTTAGTCAGTTCTGGGAAAACAGTTTCAAGGTATCCAAATGTCACAAAAATTATTCGAAAAGATTGCATAAAGCTATTGCTACATATAACTCTCGTCATACTTTCTTTTCTGAAAGTCTTACTGATTAACTATATATATAATTTATTGTGAAAAGATTATTAACTCGTTATAATAAATATCACTAAAAGCCACAACAAAAAATTAAAATCTTTTTTTTTATTGCGTCCCAGTGATCGGACCCAATCATATTAAAACTCTAAGAACATGCCCCTAACATAACGCCCTTAAAATGTTTATGACTTTTTTTTTCTTTTTAATTTTGTTAGAATCAAAATTTATTGACAAATATCATTCCAAAAAAATATGCCGTTTAAAAGTTGTGACCTTTTAAAGTTATTTTTTGGAGTTAATTGGGAAATAAAAAACTAAAAACAATAACTATTAAACGAGAAGAGAACTTTGTATGAAATTTTAAATCTGTCGATTAATTTTAACCTAGTTAAAGATATTATGAAAAAAAAAAAATTTTTTTATTTTGAAAATAAATATAGGACACAACGACCCAAATTTTAGGTTTAATATTGTTTCCAGTCTCCGATCATCGCAATTTTTTTTAAAACATTCTTATTTTGCATCAGTATGATTATTACAAAATTTTATGAAATCACCGTTTCTAATAGTTAACTATCTTAAATACTAAAAATTCTGGACCAGCTTGTTTAACGCCCTTTTTAGATATCGACAGAATATTTTCAAAATCTAGGTCATAACAGAATAAGGTACGGTGATTTTGAAAACGTAATCCGTTTTTGGTGTACTTTTTTTTTTCGTAAGAAATATTTCTATTAGGGTGTGGTGTACCATGGATGAACTACTACTATATGTATGAACTACTCAAATGTATGAACTAATTAAAACCAAATCATTTATCAAAGTCATATTATTCATTTCTCTTTTTGATAAACAACTTTTTTTATATCAAAATATCCATAAATTTAATGCAAATGCCTATAGCCTACATAAAAAACATCAGGAGAGTTATTAAAACCACTAACTCAAATGGAATAATTTTCTAATAAACACAAATAAAATTTTTGGCTCACAGTAGAACTCAATTTAATAATACTCAAGCTGCTTTTTTTCGAAGCAGCTTACACAATGTAAAACATTCCGAAATCAAGTTTTTACATCCTTTTTAATTTTAAAGTGTTACAAGGACCCTTTAAATGCAAGTAAAACCATTACCTGTGTTTATTCTGATTAAGCGAAGGTAACAAATGGAGTACCAAATGGAGTACCAAATGCATCAGCACATGTATCCACCTGACTAGAAAGGAATGACAAGAATGTGAAAGTACCAACAACAATGACAAAGATAAGAGCACTTATTATTGTATATTCAAACCAATCTTGATATCCTAGTAGATCACCCAAGCAGGTCTTTCAATAATGAAAAGTGGAAAGTCATAAAATTTAGTTAAAAACCTAACAAAAACCTTAAAAATTATCTCCCTATAAAAAAAAAATGATATTTAAGCTGTTTGTAACCCTGAAACAACAAAACCTCAGCAAAACCTAATTGTAAATTGTAACTTTAAACAATAAATTAAAATGGAATGAGCACATCAGACACGCCTCAAATAAAAACAAATCATAGGCATGCTTAAGCAGACATTGAGGTATTGGAGAGTCTATTTTTGTCAAATATAACATTAGTTTGACCTCTTTCAGAATATTGCGCATCTGTTTGAAACCCCTTTCAAAAAAAGACAGATTTTAAATACTCAGCATAGAAAAGAGCAACAAAGTTTGTACGACCAATATGAAATATAGATTATTAAGCTTGTCTAACTCATCTCAACCTGGAAACTCTTAGAATAGGGAATATAATATTTTAAACATAAAGTAGCTATTTTAAAAATCCTGACATTCTTCAGACAAAAGAAAAATAATATTTGACCTTTATATGTAGATACCACCTGCCAAAATTAAACTCTCAGCAAATGTATGTACTGAAACATGTACCCTCAAATGCCAAACATATAAACATCAAATAAATCCTGTTTTTTTAAGTTTAAGTTCTTAATTACTATTAAGTTTTTTTAGTGTTTGTTGCAATGTTAAAAACTAAAAAAAATTTCATTGTTTTGCATAGAGTTATTCATTAACTTAGGTTTTCAGAAATTTATATTAAGTAAAGGGACCCATTTACTAAGTTAATAACAATTTAAAAAACAATTTTATACTAAAACTATAAAAATTAAATAAATTGAAAACTTCTATTAATTGTAACTGATTGATTTGAATTTATTGCAATCTAACTCATTAAAATATACATACACTAAAGAACCAAAAACTAGAAAGTAAAAATAACAAAAATAGAAATTAAAGGACCTACTAAATACTCAAAAACCAGCGTCAATGATTTTGGTGTGTGTATGATATCATGAAGTGTCACAATATTTGCATGCTTTAAATCTTTAAGAATTGAAACTAAAAAGATATATGTAACATATGAGTCAAGTTTTGAATGAACTTGTATCAAAAAATAAAAATAGTCTAGTAAATATAACTTCATTTTTACATTTTTTTTTTTACAAAACTTTTTTTTTTTATTACTAATTTTTATTATATTTCGTTTATATTATATAAATTATAGTTTTATCTTATAATAAACTGCTATATATAATAAATTTAAGAGCAACTAAACTTAATTTTTATATATTCATTTAAAACTTTTAAATTCAATTCAAAGAATTTAAACATTTTTAAGATGTTACAAAAATGTTCTTATAGTAAACATTAATAAGTGATCCTTAAAACAAGTCTCTTAAATGTAAATTTTAATAAGAAATAAAAAAAAATTATAACAAATTCCCAAAAAAATTTCAATAGAGATTTGCGCCACGGAATAATTTACAATGTGGATCAGAAAGCCCATTAGCTTTAATGGAGTGTCTCCTTGGATTTTCTTACTGATAACACATTCATTCATTTGTTTCATTCTTTTCATTGACTTTTTACTTACTTTTATCTCCTCTTTGGGAAGCAGTTGTGTTCATATCTTAGTTTTACTAAACCAGTTATTTTATTTATATGCTATTTGCATAATTACTTTTTAAGTATAGTAAAAATTAGTGTTTAAAGTTTAGAGAATATACTTATATACTTTTTATATTTATAGCCATATAAGCTTGTGCAAACATTGTGTAAACATGGAAACAACAAAACTTATGCAATATTATGCATTAATGTGTGTATATTTGTTTGTATATTTTAACATAAGTTTTTTTATTTTAAAATGTTTTAGATTGATTGGGCCAACATAAAATATTCTTCAGATCAATGTTTGGGTGTCACAATTCCAAAATTTAATGAGCCGAAAGTACCTAAAAATATATGCAGTAGTGGCTTTCTTGTTACTGGATGTGGAGTTTCTTATCAGTGTACACAAGCTGCTAGTGTAGACAGCTTAATAGATAACGGTTTACAATTAGAAGAATATTCAAAACAAATAGACAATCACTAATTAAAAATAAACAAAAAACAAAAATTGAATGTATTAAAAACGTGGCATTTAAACTAAAAACACAAGGATCACTTTCAAAATGGGGCAATTAAACTAAAAACACAAGGATCATCTCTGAGTGAATGCACACAATTCAATGTGTAACAGAAGTAGTAAACAATTTTCTCTTAAAACAATCATGGAACTTTAAATCTTGCTTGTACTATCAGACAATGTAATAAAAAAACTTTTTTTACAATTAGAACTGGATTGCATGGAAAAGACTCTGTGGACAGAAACATTTTTTTAAAACTAAAGAATCTTAAAAACAACTAGATGAGTTTTATGGTGTAAAGCAAGTTGAAATTGTCTCTAACCAGAATAAAGTTATCATCAAAAACTTAGTATATATTAAAAATCCCTTCGATTAGATCTTGCACTTTATTAAGAAAAAAAAAAAATTAAACAATTAACTTAAATTAACAGCCCCGTATCCCAGGTGACATGCTATCAAACCTAATGGGTTCTCTGGTCTGCAGTATTTAACATACTCAAGATTTTATAATAATTTAACATATTTTAAGTTGATAAAAGTCTTATAATATATAATAAGCTAGTTAATTAAATTTAAATCTACACTCTAAAAACAATCCGCCAAAAAAAGCAACGGATTGCTTTTTTCCGTTAAATTAACAAAGTAATTTGTAACCAAAAATCACAAAATTAACTGAATAAAATTAACTATAACAGATTCTTTGAAATTTTGTTAATTCAATGCATTAAATATTCAAATCAGTTGAAAAATAACTGAACTTTTTATTAAAATGGGTTTCCATAAAAAATTATGAAGTGCTTCCTCTGTAGATTATATTTTTAAATCTTGTTTGTTTGATTTAGATTTGTCAATATATTATAGTTATTTATTTATAAATGATAAAGTTTTAAAAGGCGTTTTTCTTAAACCACATTTAAATCGTAAATAAAAGGTTTGTTGCAGTAAGTTTAATTTGCCATTTTTTAAATAGCATCACATTTTGACTAAATGTGAAGATATTTAAAAAAATTAAAAAAGTGTTATTTAAATTATGTTTATCCATTTGCTTTTTCTACCAAATATTAGTAGAGAAAGCAAATAGATACAGTTTAAATTACACTCTGGCATTTGTAATTTCAAAGATTGTTAAACTTCGAAATTACAAATAACATAAACTAAAGGGTTAGTTGATTAATTATTTCTATAATAGACTATATTACTTGTATATAATCTTGTATAATTTTCTATTTTAGACATGACATGTAGTAACTTACGATATAAATTTAAATCAGTTATAAAATTAAAAATGTTAAAATTCTTTTGATGGGTATCAATTTTAAGGTTAGTTGCAGCTATGTTTACATAGAGTTAGTTTATATGCTTTTATATATTGCAATTTTAGACACATTGCATGCATTATGACACTGTAAATTTCATCAGTTGTAAAATAAATCAGTTGTAAAATGTTTACTTGCATTTTTTTTATGGGTATTTATTTAGGCTAGTTAAAGCAAAGTTTATATATGGATTGTTATAATTTGCATATTTAAGTTTGTATATGCTTTTATGATTTACTATTTTAGACATGCGTCATGCTATATCACACTGTAAGTTTAAATTAGTTGTAAAACTTTTTTTATTTTTTTACTTGCAACTTTTTATGTTCGTTGCAACTAAGTTTATATATTGCTTGTTTATATTTGTATAGAACTTGCTGCTTTAGACATGTGGCATTCAGGCATGAGGTATTAAATTTAAATTCTAATATTAATATCTTTAATGTGTTTATTATTATTAAATAAAAATGTGAGACTTTTTTTTAATTTAAATTCTAATATTAATACTTTTAACATGTTTGTTATTACTAAATAAAAAGGTAAATCTTTTTTTTCTTTTATTCTTGATGTGTATAAAAATTAACAACTATTGATGTGTGAAAAAGTTTTAGAACCTTTCACATAGCAGGTAAGGTTACCTTTTATAGCGCATTTAATTTTTGTTTAATACATTGAAATATAGAACTAATAAAATAACATAATTTTTATTAGCAATTTAGAAATAAAGAATTAGCAACAAATGTTTCTTACAGGGTTATTAGTAAAAATTTATTTCCATTTTTTATTATGGTATATTATTTATATTCAATATTTTCTTGTTGTGTTTTAAGGTTTATCTATAAATAATCAACAACAGGTTGCTAGAACTGAAATGCGCACACACATGAATTCACAAAAATATTAAAAATTGAAACCTAGTATAGTAACAATTGCATACATGTCTGTGTTTTTTATATAAATGTTTTTTGACCTTGAATATAATAACTGTATTAATAAAATATACATTAAAAAACTTTATATATTTTTATTTAATTTTTTTAATTTTTATTGTAATTAAAAGTTTCTATATTGAATTAATTTATTATAAATATTTAATTAGTTTTCAATTTGAAAATTAAGATTTTTAAAGCTTGCTAAAAAATCTCTCCCGATATGGTTAGTTTGTATAAGTAGTACTGCTTGTATCAGATGTTGATAATAAAATAACATAATAAAATAATGCATATATTAAAAAATAAGTACTATTTTGTAATGAAATCTCAGTTCTATCTGGCTTATTTTCTTTTTAATTTTAATAAAAGGGAATAATAAATTATTCAATACGATGACGTAGTAAATGCTTTATTTTACCAAAATAGCAAAAGCAGCCTAGTGTAATAATTTCTTTATTTTAAGTAGTTGTTGGTTGCACAAACAGGAATAAATTCGTAATTTCAACAGACTAATATCAATGAACTTCAATCCATTAAAATTTTAATCTGATAACATAACGGAAAATCCGTTGGTGCAATAGCGACAGATACAGTTTGTTGTATGTAACAGATTTTTGCTTAGAG